TGTAATCATAATTTTGGCCCACCCTGTATATTGCCAATTTACTGCAAGGCTCCACATGAATATTGGAGATATTCTGCTTTCCTTCCCGTGGAAAAATGAGACTTCCTCCTTAAAATAAATCTCGAATCTTACCTTCCCAGATAGGTCTGGCTCTAATTTACCGACCCCGGAGATGTGTGATAAAGCGTCATTACCCCTACACTACCTCCGCCAATATATGGGGGTACATAAAGACAGGCCGATTTTGCGAGACTATTGTCTGTTCGATTTCGAAAAGAAGGATTTTGATGCCTCCACATAAATATTGGAGACTTTCTGCTTTCCTTCCCCTGGAGAAATGAGACTTCCTCCTTAAAATAAATCTCAAATCTTACCTTCCCAGATAGGTCTGGCTCCAATTTACCGACCCCGGGGATGTGTGATAAAGCGTCACACTACCTCCGCCAATATATGGGTGTACATAAAGACAGGCTGATTTTGCGAAACTATTGTCTGTTCGATTTCGAAAAGAAGGATTTTGATGCTCTTGTGAGCGTCATCTAAGCAGGGCCATTCGTTCCATGAGATAAAGGATTTAATTGAAACTACCTGAGTTAATGCAGTAGGAGGAAATGATTGGAGAAGTAGCCACGTACAGAGAATCTGAGCAACATACATGGCTGGTGGAGATTTCAATGTGCATATAAAGCAACCTCTCTTGTTTTATAAGCGATTTCAAAATATCTGTTCCAAATTCGGTATGATAAGAATGTATTAGCTGAGAATCGAATTAGACTTACAATGAATCAGTTTATTCGAGGTCCGTTATTTCAAAATGCTTATATTTTCATTACGAAGCCCAAGCAGCCTGCGGCGAGAATATAGAATTTTCATCAACCCATCGCATTTTTATGTAATGCCAGAAAAGATGACGGTGCATCCTAACTCATCAAGGCGATTAACTTATGCTGCCACATTTTATGTTAAGTAAGATCCAGAATTCCAGATGAGAGCCAATGCGGCAATGGTTTCGTGGTGGTTACGGTATCCCCCGACTGGAGATTCAAACCTTTCCCTTCATAGCGCGCGACTGCGCGCGATCGGGTGCGGCCAGCGCGACGCGATTTTCGGGGATAGACACCCACATCCACCAGACTCGAATCTCCACGAACGCGCGCAAGCACGAGGCAAATCATTGATAGTGATGACATAATAATGGTCGTCTTCATTGGCATTAACCCTGCCTATCACCATTCATAGGACCAAGTCTTTAAATCTGGCTTCCTGTGGAAGCAGAAGAGGGAGGTGCATTCCTGGACAAAATTTATTAACGCTCGAACATTTTATCCTTTACTTTTTTTAACAGCTGTTCTCAATACTCTCCGGAAGCAACTTCTCAAGTTAGAGAGTGGTAACGAGGGAGATTTTGGAGGATTTGGGTTCAGGTTGTGGGGTGCAATTATGCTCGTTAACGTAAATGCTGGGGTGTGATTATAAGTGGTGGCACTTAATAGCAGGTTGCCATAGATTGAAATTAACGAATGCGTTCGCTTGGCACCTCAAGGGGTCATTTGGCCCATGGGTGACCAGTCCGTACATCACACCTTACGTATAGTGATCGTACAATCAATCACTCGCAATTTATCCTCTTCGCTTCCATGCTCTTACCTTTTTTTCTCTGCTGTATAATCATTTATTACTCAACTATTTACTCGTCTATTGATTTTCTTCCTACCTCGTCGGTGTTCACTATTCGAGCTGAAGTTTATCGTACTTCACTTGGCTTTTGTCAGGCTTCCCTAACTCTGATGAAGACGGAAGGACGAGTTATGTGATCTGCAAGCAACTCTTCAAGGGTGCCGATCGCTGGAGATTCTAGCCTTCCCATAGAATTGAAGAGCGGTGTGATGGTATTTACCTTTTTCGATTTATTTACCAGGTATTTGTTTGCAATTTACAGTTTTTGAAAATTTCTAATGCTTACGTAGCCTCTACCTTTTGTCGCTTTATATGAGCTTTGACGATACATTCGAGTCATTTTCGGAGGCTACAATCGGCTGTCTCGTCAGTATGACGCTTCCGCTTTCCGATTTCCGGCTATTTGACGCGGTTTTCATCTTTGTTTTTATGTCCTTACTTTCTTTCCGAGTGGTCAACAAATGAATACCACAACCAGGAAACTCGTTTCCGTTCATCCTTCACAGCCGAGTACCCAGCTTCTCATACCCGCTTCCATTCTGAAGAGAGCCTGTGATCAATTTTTTCTTAATCAATAGCTTTTTGCCCTATCTTGTTTTCCATAGTGTAAAACGTAGAAGCAAAACTAGAATTTCTGTATCCATCCTGATCAGGTTTGTGGATTTCTATTTCCTATTTATATCAGATTCGTAATACTTATTTCGCTCATTCCACATCCTCTTTCCGCAGCTGACACCCCTTTTTAAAATGATGCTATGTTTATTTCCTCCTTTGTCTTTGTCTTCTGATGAAAGCTAGAAGTGGAAGCTCTGAAATGAAAGCTCGAAGTGGAAGCTTTGGAAAATGATAAATTACTTATAAAAAGGCGTCAAGGAATTTTCGAGGGTTAATTTTAACCCTCTTTCAAGATTAGAGACAATGATAGGAACAGTGCTTTGATAAACAAAATTTAAAAAAAAAAACTTGGCAAAGAGAATATGGTGTTCTGGAACAAGGCTCATGCATTTCTTAGTGAGATCGCACTGGGTGCATTCAGACTTCGCCGATCGACAAAGGGGTTCTTGGCCACGTGTTGGCAACGCAGGATCGATCGCGTTCAAGGCCGCGTAAGCCGTGAGGGCGCGTGATCCATCGGTGTTCAGCGTTGTCAGCACGTGGCCGGAAACCCGTAGGCCGGTAGGCGGAAGCAATGCACATCGGTGAAGTATGAATGCATACATTGGTTTGCGATTCTGCCCATCCAGCATCTTACCCTCGGTGGAACTCGTCAAGCTAGCGCGAGAACAGCAAAGCGTCAATTACCGTGTAGTCTGCTATCTCACGTCCAATTTGCTGGAATTGACGAAGTTTTAATCAATTTGAATTAATTTGAAAAAGGTTCGATTACTTTTCATTCTCACTCATATCCATTGTGGTTCTTTCTTCATACCCATACTTTCAAGATTCCTGCTATGTTTATGGATGCTTTCAAGGGTTCTTGAAATGATTTGAATATTGATTTGTTTTGTTATTTGTTGTTATTAATGTTACTTTCGGGGGGTATTGGCTTATAAACAAATATCACTGAATTATTCAAAGGTTTTACTGGTACTCTTGTTGTTGTCCCTTATGAAAACAGTATGAAAACAATATAGTTCGAAGAAGGTTTTCGGGTAATCGATACGTAGATAAGAATTATACGAGCAATGCAAAAAACGACCGGTTGCTAACAAACTGGTTTCTGAAGAGGCTCTCGATGGGCACCAATTGATATCCGCAGTAAGGCCGTTGAAACCTTGTAGAAAATGTTTTTCTAATAAATCCCAAGGAGAATTTTAAGGCGGTCAGATGTATTTATCGTTGGCCAACCTTCTGAATCGTGCCATGCGTTTTCAGTTGGGTTCAGATGTGTGAGGATTAGAATAGCTAGCTGACTATTACAGTAGTTGCACTTTTTTGACTGTAGCATTTTTATGCATATAACCATGTAAAAACAACAGTTTCGGCCAGAAAATGTAGTAAGGAATCGTTACAGGGCCGCTCTTCCCTGTGCAGACTGGTGCGTTTCTGTATGGATGACCTGTCTGCAGAAAAACTCACCATTCTGCATAGAAATGAACCTATCTGCGTTTTTATGAACATATCTGCGTGAAGACGCCCCTACTATAAATGCGCCCACCCGTTCTTGCGGTGGTGGTACTTCTTCCCCACGGCGAGCAGCAATGGTTTCGCGGCGATTACCGCAGCTTTCCACTGGAAATTGAAACCTTTCCTTCATAGCGCGCGACTCTGCGCGATCGGATGCGGCGATTGCGACGCGATTTCCGGGAAAAAGTTACCACACCCGTTTTGCATCTTCGTCTGCTCCCTCTCAGTGATACAGTACCCTCCTGGTCAATTCCTCTCCCATTCTTCTAACTATTCGCATGGAGTCATCACCTCACTAACTCCGTTACTCTTCCCCTCCTTGGGCTCAAGCCGAAAAGTCCTTAGCTCCCGCTTTGAATCGTTTTTCAAGAGTGCTGCCTGCAAAACGTGCGCCTTAAAGTTCTCTAGCTCTAGCCAGCGCTCTAGGGGCAAAACATGGCGAAATGGTCCTCTCCAACTACATTTTCACCACAATGGCAAAAAATAATTCGTTCAGCTGCTACCTACCGACGATCAACGCGATTATTTTAAGAACTTTCTTTGAGCTATTTACAAGTAATCGAGGAAGTCGCCCGAACATTGGCGCAAAACCCATCGCGCACAGCAACTCAATATCGATTGATGAGGCCCCGCCCATGCGCCCAGCAGGAGCCCGTCATCGATGCCTGCCTGCAATGTACACAACCAAAAATTCTGCTTACTTTTTATTGCTTTACTTTTAGTTTCGCTTCAAACGCAACGCTTCATCATTTTGTTTTTTACTATGCATTTGTGTTTACATACTCCCCAGGAGACGGGAAAGCCACCCAACNTCTTTCACCCAAACCCAGGCCTTTCGATTGGGTAACTCATAGCTGATGTGGACCTTCCCCAATTTTTCCCAATTTGCAATTTAACAGTTAAAGTGGTGGTTCCTTTTTGTCTTTTGAGTATTCTGAGTTTTGTAAATAATTCTTGCCACTTGAATAATGGCAGTCAATTAGCCTAAGATTTTTCGTGTTGGGCATTGATCCAACGGATAGTATTTTACAGTAAGATATGGGTTTTTTAAATATTACAATATGGCTCGATTTTAGTTATAATGTCAACGTACCCATCCTTCCCAACCACCCTGTCAAACCAGTGGGGTTTCTTTTTTGGAGCGTCACACATTCTGACTTTACCTAGAATTGTGGTGACATTTCAATGTGTATTAGGGCCTACAATGATTTATAGGGACCAGCCCTTGGACAAGTCTGTACTTCGATCGTCCAACCGAAACTAGTACCTATCAACCAACCTTCTACGAATAGAGGGCTAGATCGAGGGAATCGGTTCTGATTTTAGCAGCGCTACTACGGTACTACTGCTTTTTCGTAGCAAACCTCCATCAAATGATACCTCATGAACGAAATGGGTGGTAAGGCATTGAGGGCAGGAGGGCCTGATAGTGAGAGCATATTGTGTTGAACATCCATGGGGTCTTATACTTGGATGCCTAGGCCCTGGGAAATTTTGCGAAACTTTGGAACCACTAATCAGTCCTATAATAATTGTTAATGGGAGAAGGAGCTTGTGATTTGTTGACTCTAGCTTTTCTAGGAAACCTTTGATTGGCTTTTCTGGGTAGTGGCATGTGACGCGCCTCCCACGCGCAAGGCCCGGGTTCGAATCCCGTCTTGATAAATCCAAAACCAATATTTCTAACTGATGCCAGACTCGTCTGGGAGGATAAAAGCGCTCACTCACACGTTGGCGAGTCTTCCCCAGTCATTGTATGTTCCACACACGCGTTCAAAAACGCCCCTACGATTCCGAATGAAAGTCGGATGCATGACGCATCCCGCGGACGGGCTTGATTAATGCCAAAGCCTCTATCCCTCACGTATACATATAAATATATGTGTATTAGTGTGATCACAGCCAACCTTGTCCTTCATGTCCGCAGTCAAAGATTGTTTTCGGCTGTCCGTAGTTGCTAATTTGCTCGACTTATTCGGTCATGATACGTGGGGTCTATCCGTTTCCACATGATCAACCATTGCGTCCGACCTACTAATCGCTTGGCAGTCCACGGGACAATTAACCGATGTCTATCCAAGGCGAGAAATACACTGATATACCGGCCATAAACGCCATAGTGAGAATCTCGCATCTCAGCTGTCGGACACCACTGATCTATCCTTCAGCAGAAATCGGAGGTTGTAAATTGCATAAGGTCGAGGTCAATTACACCAGTATGTTACCATTCAAATGAAGGAATCCTAGCCATTTCTTCCGCCTCAAGGGTGTCTTACATGTGCGGGTGACGCTACCTGGTCCCAGATGAGTTCATTCAAGGGAATTTAGGGCAAGTAGCACTTTCACTGTCAACTAGAACATTAAAGATTGAGCACACTGAATGGAGACGTGACAATTCCAGAACCCCCCGACCATGCTGTCTACTACGCAGAACTTGGAGATAAAAAAATCATATACATTAATAAAAGAAACAACTGCTTAGAGGGGATGAAATAAGGAGGACAACCTTGGAAATATGCTTCATCTTTCTCAATTCCTATTCTCATCTCTTTCGAATGCGTCGCTCATAAAGGTCTTACACTGCTTTTCCCGGCCGAGATCACCAACGAAATTTTCAAAGGGTACCCGTTTCAGATTGGTATATTTTTGAATAGGATTCGTGTTGAAACTGCAGAAGGACCTTCAGATTTCCATGTTTTTATAGTAAGTTCCGAGTATCCTTACCTTTTGTGTTCTTCCAATCATGGAATTATGTTTTAAGGTCTGTCATGACGGAATACGACATTAATCCGAACATTGAAAGACTGCTACTCGAAAGTGATATTGAGGAAGAAGCAGATGAAGGCGTTGACGATGATAGTCAGGAACAACTGGTGGCACCTATTGATGATGACAGTTTCGACGAGGACGAGGTCGGTGGTGCTTACGATGAGCAGTGGTGCGATGATGTCCAGAAGCACGACCGGTGGACCGCTCTCGCTGATGAGTATGGCATGGAATGCAGCGCTTCAAGTGATTGTGTGGAACCGGTCGACTTCTACAAATTGTTTCTGAACGAGGATATCTTGGAGTTGATAGTGGAGGAGACAAATCGTTACGCTTCAAATAACAAGAATCAGACCTGGTCGCCGACAAACAAGGAGGAAATTATGAATTTCATCGCTTTACTGCTTCAAATGGAAGTCGTCCAACTGCCCACATTGGGGTCTTATTGGGACAACGACCGTGTGTACGGGTCGCATCGAATTGGTCGTAGTGTTATGTCTATAGAAAGGTTTGAAATGCTGATTAAGAATTTTCATTTGGTGGATAACGGCACCGCCGATGAAGTCGGTAGGCTGGATAAAATTACCCGTTTCCTGGATCTTTTCAACGAAGTCTGCCAGCGAATGTGTTGTCCTGGAAAGGAAGTCTATATCGAAGAGTTGCTGATTCCTGTCAGAGCGAGATTCGTTCTCAAACTGTTCTATCCGAATGACTGGCATCGTTATGGGATAAAAATGATAAAAGTGATAGCAAAAGGCGGTTATACCTACCGTACAGTTATCCATGCTGGTGAGAAGTCCCAAACTCCGACTGATACCATCGTTGGGTTATTAGATGACCTTCTCAATTGCGGTCGAATCGCAGTAACTGACCAACATGCTACTAGCTTAGATCTTGCTCAAGAACTTCTGAGAAGAGGTACCGACTTGCTTGGCGCTGTCGGCCCCAACCGGTACGGACTCCCAGTAACAATATCGATCAGTTTCCTGAAGAAGGGNAAGCAAAATGCTGAAGGCATAACTGTACTGAAATGGCGTGATAAGACGGACGTGATAATGCTATCCACAGTACATGATGATTCCATAACCAAGGAAGGGGTGCCGATCGCTGTGAAGGACTACAACCGAGTGAAATCCTACACTAATCTTGCTCATCGTCCTTATACTCCCTATGTTCGTAAAGCCACAAAGTGGTATGTTCGTGCCGGGCTCCATCTGCTCACTCATGTGGCCATGGTGAATGCTTGGAAGCTCTACTCGGATCACACAGGAATCCCAATTGACTTAATGAGTTTCAAGATCTTGGTCACTAGGGCATTGCTGCCCAAACCAAAACCGGCAGATCCAACGAGAAGGTTGGTAGAGATGACCGGAGCCAAACGGGCGACGGTCAGACGTTGTGTTGGCTGCTACAAGAGGTTGTCAGCTGATCTCGGTCCCTTTGAAGCACGACAACGTGCCAGGCGTGTACATACTCGGTGCAGTAAGTGCCACAAGCACTTTTGTCTGGCTTGTTTCCAAACGGGACATAAGGAATGTTGAATGGTCTCACTTACTTGTTACTTTGATAAGATAATGATTTTTTGATAAATTTCTGCTAAAAAGCATTGTTTGTAATTCCTCTGAAGATCGCTGGAGTAATTGTTTTGGAAGTTTATCAAATGTTGTATAATTGATGTGTAAATAGTAAACAATTATTACAATGGGTTGAAGCAGCGTGACTATGCTGGGTGATTTATTTTCCCCTTTTTGGGGACTTCCAAAAGAGCATTTTCAGCCATGCTGAAGTTAGAAAAGTCCCTAATAAGCACCTTGATAGTAAATTGGTTCAACAAGATGCTTATACTTGCCGGCAGATTCACGGTTGAGTGGTAGCAACTACCGTTCAACTATGAACCTACCGGCAAGGGTAAGCACCTTTTTAAACAAATTTTCTGTCAAGATGCTCACTAGGGACTCTTTTAGCTATTTTTCATCTATAGTTGATATCTTTTTTTCATGACAAAGCAGGTTTCCCGATCATAATGGTCCGCATAAATGAAAAACCAGAAGTGGGCATGAGAAGCACTAATCATAAGGCCAATGGTCATGAGTGTCACCGTTATCAGTGACCAGTTTTTCCTTAACTTTGTTCCATTAATCGTCTTCATCTTTGCTGCTTGAACTGAATAGTTATGCTTGAAATATCTTGGCACAGTAAGAAAAAAAAGAATTCTCCTCATAGGAAAGCTGGAAATGGCTGACAGGGATGAACGTCGCCTGTTTGTCTCTACCAGCCATTCTTAGCTACTTCATGAAGTACTTAGGGTTCAGACGGTTGATTTTTCTACCAGGTTCAATGATTGTTTGCAATATGTACTGGTATTCGTCTACACTTCCATTACAGAAGTCAAAAATTACATGGAAAACAGCTGATCGTTCAGGTGATGCGCGAATTGGACCCAAACTGATGGGGTTCTCCGTTTTTGTCGTGCCTACCACCGTTGCTAGGGAAGGTGGTCATAATTACTGGTGTTAGGTTATCCGTTGAAGCATGTAATGTTCTAATTTAGCTACGAATAGCTGTAGAAATGGATGGTATCCTCACTTCCTAAACCTATAGTAACGTCTCTTTTTACAACTGGTTTACTTTCACATTTTCTTCTCTTTTTTTATGGGTCCCCTGTTATCAGTGTAGTAATGGGCTCGCACGGAGCTAGTATGTCGAAATTTTAGATGGGTCGCTTGTATCGGAGGCATGGTGGGCCTCTATGGGCTCAAAAAACGGGTTAGCATCGACTCTGACCTGAACGCCTCTTTTTCTGCGCCGTTACGATGACTACTCAGAACATTTCCCACCTTGCCACCCGTCGTAGTGAACCATTTATTTTGCGCTTTACCCATAAATAACTGCTACCTAATTATCGGCTGTTGATGGATGTTTATTACGTTTCGAGAGCGATTAGTCAAAGAATTTCTGATGTTTAAACGACAATAGTAGCGATAAGAGAGAGCAGAGTGCTAACTTTATCATGTACGTATGTGCGGTCTGAAACTGGTACTTTAAGGAAATGATGTGGTACTTGATATAAATCAGCGCTGATTTCAACTACAAACCAACTTTAGTGAGAAGGATATCAGGTGATTAAAATGGACAGTCTCGGAATTCCAACATGCTATCGTTTTTTAGGGCAGCGGAGGCTATTCAATGTATTCACTTCATAGACCCGCCCATCACAAGGGCCACGCCTCTTGAGCGATCTTTACGTTGCTAGGGGAGTGTGAACGAATAGTAATAGGTGAACGTATTGAACGTATTGAAAAATTTAGGTTCTGAGGGTGAGTTACAAAGGTTCAAAGAGACGAAAAGTTTGGATTTATACTGGTCAAACAAAAAATCCTCCCAACTTCCGTAAGCGATCGTTCTTGTCTTCGTCTGTAATGAAAAAAATCAAGTTTTAGTAGCAATGCTACGATGTCTTTCTACTCTGACGCCCAGATTGGTGTCGACATGACAAGGTAGCAATTAACATCAACCCTTTGAGTGCTAGATCAGGTATATTCTTCATTGCGAAGAGTGCTTTACCAGCCTTACGTTCAACTTTCGAAATCTATGAGAGCCGTGGAATAATCCTCGACGAATTCAAATGCGTTCGACTGACAGTGAAATTAAAGGTTCGGTGTTTTCAGGTTCATTAGTAAGAGGTTCATAAAGATAATTTGTGAGTGGAGAAATTGTAAAATTGATTGAATTCATTTAATAAGTTTTACATAGAGCCGTGATATGGTTACTGTAGCGAAATAATGACATCTATCGGTTACCGACTTCCCAACGTCAGCGATTTATTTCAGATGAATAAATGATAGCCTTTTTCATTGAGCCAACAGAGACAGAAGAACAAGTTTTTGATGGAAATGAACTTTGGCCGATTAGGAGCGAGTGGAAAGAAATTCCTGCAGTCAACTTGCTATTGTAAAGTACCGAGTAAAGTTAGTTGTGTTGTACCTACCTACTGCTATGAATTTCTCATTGGCCCTTACCTTTTGAGAGTTACTTCTTCATTCTTTTCAGGTGTTCAGTACCTTGTATCGGGATCTTCTCTGGTTATGTAGACCTCTAGAATGGTGTGAAAGTATTCACTATAGCCCTACGCAGTAGGTCCCACCACTTGGGAACCCTTCAAAATCAGGTGGTAGATGTGGCACTTTATAGTCGAGGTCCTCATGAAAGATCATTTACCCTAACCTAGTCTGACCTAACCCGAGCTCAACTAACTTGACCTAACTCAGCCTAATCTGAGCCAGGCGAACCTAGCCTGGCCTAGGGTTTATCAACCTTTTTTCGAGAGGTCTGCGAAGGACTAGAGTTTAGGGCTGTTGAGAACCAAGTTACAAGATTTTCCAAATCACCCTTATTCCCGACTGGTTTTTTTCACTTTAATTTCCATGAACCGCTATACTATAATCGATGGAACGCAATAAGGTCGTGAATTGTCTGGTAGTTCCCATTCGAGAGAGGTAAGCGGAGAGGGTCGAATTGTGAGGTTTTGGTTACCTGCGCAACATAATTGTATGTACGTGCACCGGTCCATTGGCCGGTTGGTCGGTTCAGTCGCCCTTTTCGATATGCACGCGATTCTACTGCCCCATTATGCCTGGTCAACAATCTAGTTCTGTTGCTTACACATGAACAAACTCTCATTAATTGTTACATCCTAAATGTAATAGCCTCACTTCACTTTTTACTTTTTTCCCTCTTAGTTAGTAGAGAGTCAAATGACGGTTCCACATCCTTCATTGAGTCAGTTTTACCTATTTTACTAGTTATTAGTCAGAGTAACTCCGAGTGATTGAAAGAGAGCTTCTGCGAGAGATAAGAAGTTTTCATGGCTGTTATAGTGGCAGCGAAAGCTTTATAGCAGGCCGCTATGAAGTAATGAATTCGTCCTCTTCTTGAACCTCTGATAATTACTACAACATTTATTACTTCTTTTCAAAATTCGATCTAGTGCTTCTCCATGGTCAATCCAACAACGCTATCGAAAAATAGAAACATTTGAGCGATACGAATACATCGAGATGTAAATGACGGTTCATATTAAGCTCCTGAGGGTTCCCTCTTCTTTCTGTTTCTTGCTACCTCGAAATGGTTTTTGCAAAATGATCGAAGGTTCGCGTTTAACGAGATTGCCAGGTGGGGCATTTATCATATTAGCCAGCAGGTTCAACTGAGCTTTTTCATTCGGAGGCGGAAGGTCTTGTGTGGCCTAAGACGGAAATCAAACGGTAGCCCAGTGCAGAACAGTTTCTTTGGGCTAAAGCTTGGCACTTCCGAAATCCTTTTATCAGATAGGTTTTGTGATTGATCTGGAAAGGAAGGAAACTTGAAAAACTGATTTTGAAAATTACGTTGTTCGAAGTCCCACAATGTGGCAATAAAGTATGTGGGCAAACTCAGGAACTAGTAAGTGTTATACGATTCCACATGGAATGGATTTCCAAGGTATGGAAGGCTGATCATGAGGGCCAGTTTAGGGCCTTCTCTCGAGTACTGTATCTTGAAGAACCTATCAACTTGGCCCTATCAATTTCGGCAGGAATGAACGAGGCTGAAGGATGACGGATAGTCATTTGGCGTTAATCAACCCCGTCTGAGGAATGCGCCCCGCATTTGACTTCCACTTCGAGTCGGAGTGGCGGATCGCATGAGTATGTAGCCTGTTCAATGACTTGCAGTAGCGATCCAGTGTACAAGTCAGTGCTTTTGTCATCCCAGTCTGGAACCACTCAACTGACTCCGAAGGGATTGGAGGCTTGTTTGGCCTCGGCAGATTCTGATTCGGGTTTCCAACCTGTGACCATACGGGGAGCGTCACTTCTCACTATAGCACCTTCGCCCATATGAAGAGTCACGAAGACCAAAAACCTAGAAAACGGTAGGTTTTTCAGTTTTTCAGACAAACGATGACCAATAAAAAATTAGATTTACTACTCTGCTCCATATGAACCAGTAACAGAAATCGTCCATGGAATAGCGCAAACATTTTTACAACCCATTAGTTAGGCATAAAAGAAACTCGCTCTAATTTATGTAACCAGACTTCTCAAAATTACAAACAGCCCTTTTTAGCTAGTTTCCCACAAGTCGCACAACTCAGCAGTAGTTCTAAACCGGGCCTTCTCTCTTTGCATAGCATATTTCGTACGCTTCGTAACCGGCACTTTCACTAATTAAAAGGTTTCTCCGCGAACTACGTAAACATCGGCTGTCTGTTCTAATTTTTTTTTTGCGCGATGAAAGAAAACAAAACTGCCAATCACTGCCGCTCAAATCCTTCGTTTATCGCTTTCTAGTTCGAAGAAGTTCCGTCGTCATTGAAGGATCTTCCGGTCGCCGTCGTCATCGTCATCGTCGTCGCCTCGTTGTCGATTTTTATTGCATTGCGATGGTAAACGACCATCGCCGTCGTATTGACAACTGAAACCGGACAACATTTTCAGCCTTAAGTACGTTCGGACTCATACCCGATGACCAGGGCGAGGTGGACAGCCGGAAGCCTACC